CTGTCCGCCCCCAGGGGCCCTTTCCCGGGCCTCGGGACCGTCGAGATGCGATCCAGGATGAACCACCGGTCCCCGGGAACGGGGAACGGGTCCAGGCCTCTGAGGGTCGACGTTTTTTTTTTTACACAACAACAGAAAATAACGTCGGGGGTCTGGGAGGCTTGGCGGCGGCGAGCCGTGCGGCGAGCTCGTTTTGTTGGGGGGCGGGGTCTCGAGGTCACGGGTCACGGCACGGTCCGCCACCGACCGCACTGTTGTGGGACACCCTGAAAGGGGGGGGGGGGGGAGCGACGAGGAAGGGGGCGGAGCGGAGGGACGAGGGCGAGAGGCGGGGGGTACGGAGGGCGGGGGAGGCAGAGAGGAGGGGGGGGGGAAAGCGTGTGGGGGAGTTCGGGAGGGAGAGGGGGAAGAGGGGGAACGAGGAGGAGGAGGAGGAGGAGGAGGAGGAGGAGCTGGCGTGCTTCTGTCCAGCTCGGCCCCCCGCCCGAACCGTATGCCCAGGGCTGTTTCTCTTCAGTGCAAGTATGTCACATGTTTGCATGGTGGGATCGTCTGCTGCGGAGCGATCATGGAGCAGCCGAGGACGACGACGACGACGACGAAGACGACGAAGACGTCGAGGGGAACGCGCCTCAGGACGCGTCCTGTTGCCCTCCTTCGACTTCCGCCTCGAGGACCACACGGAGCCCGAGCCGCGGACGCTGCGCTTGCCCTTGGAGCGGCTGGTCTCGGGGGACGGGGGGTGGGGGGCACGCTTGCCTCCAGGCCTCCCTCGTCATCTTCGTTCATCATCATCAGCATCATCACTATCATTGTCATTAGCATTATCATCATCAGCATCGTCGTCATCATCGTCCTCATCCTCGTCGTCATCATCGTCATCATCAGCAGCAGCATCATCAGCAGCATCATCATCCACATCACCAACACAAACCGACGATCTCCTCCCCTGCCCCCCCCGCCGTTACAGACATCATCACGAGCGGACGAAGTTGCCCAGCGAGGTGATCTTCCGCAAGCCCCAGGTCGTGGAGGTGCCATCGTGCAAGGATTTCGAGGCCATAGTCCTCGTGATGAAAGTGATGGCCCCCCCAGCGGGCCCCCCAGGTTCAAGGGAGGAAAAACCACCCAGACCCGAGAACTGGCGTTTACGAAACGGCACTGCCCTCTTCGATTGCTTCTCTGGGTGCGTTTACTAAGCGGCTTCGCGTGTCGGGGTGAGTCTCATGAGGTGGATTCTCTGCCCTCTACACATGACCCCTGGTCGCTCACGATCTCCTGGCCCACGCCGGAGATCGTGGCCAGCAGCCGCCCCCAGCGGCCCTCCAGCTACGGTGGAGACCCATGCCAAGAAGCATCTTGCTTGCCTCCAGGGTGCCCTGGGTGTCTTGGGTTTCGACAGTGTTGCTATGGGAAGCGTGACGCCCCCCCACCAAAAATCAGTAGGCGCCCTGGGGTCGCAGGGTTGGGTTTCTTGTTGGAGGTTTCTTGTGGTCGAGCCCCAACTGTACCCCCAGTGCCTCACGATCTCCCCAGCGACGCTAGAGATCGTGGCCATCGCCGCCCCGCGCGGGCCCCATGGAGCCTTCGGCTGCGCACACTGGCGCGAAGTCTGGGGAGGAGCCGACGGCGAGGTGCCGTCGTGAAGGGCCTCCCTGAGCAACACATGATCGGGCCAGGTCCGCTGTCTTCTAGTCCGATGTACCGTGGTATGGTGAACCAGGAAAATGAACGGCGAAGAACGGTATAAAATAAACTTTTTCGCTGTCGGGGGCGCCTGTCCCAGGGCGGCTGGAAAGTTTATACCCTTACGGTGGCACCGTAGGGATATAAATTTTACAGCCGCCCAGGGACAGGCGCCCCCGACAGCGAAAAAGCTTATCTTATACCGTTCTTCGCTCGCTGAGAAGAGGCGGTGAACTTGGGGGTCGAGAATGCCGTAATGGGCGTGGCGGTGCCGTCGGAGAAGTGCGTCGACGAGTGGAAGGCCACGGTCGAGGCCAACCAGGCGGCGCATTCGAGGGTGGCCGTTGCGGAGGAGCACCGCCTTGCCATGTGTAGGCTCGAGTACAACGTGTTGGAACGTACGGGCAAGGGAATCGTGTTGCAGGGGGCCGTTCGGGAGATCATCGACAAAGACACGGTCGTGAAGCACGCGCTCTTTCGCTCGGCGTGGCCTTGCGTGGCCGACGACGAGCTGCAGGCGGAGTCCGTGGGCATCATGGGTGACAGCGAGGGCTTCGGTAAGCAGCGAAGGAAGAAGAAAGGCGTCTTCGGCAAGGCCGCAGCGCGCGACGGTCTGGTCGAGGCGGCGTGTTGGCTGACAGGGGTGGTGCTCGAAGGCCCCCCTGATTGGGCCAATGCGGTCGCGGTCGACAAGAAGATGCTCCTCCTGAGCGACGGCCGGTGCTTGGACATGGCGCGCAGATTGGGCTTCCAGGTGGAAGCGGCCCTCTGGCGCGTGGTAGCCGAGAAGATGCCGAAGGAGGGGCTGCGCCGACGAGGCAGTGTGGCCGCCAGCGAGCTGCACGAGCACGGGCCTGAGGCTTCGGGCGCCCCGGGCGCTGCTCGGAGAACGGGCAGCCGCCAGCCCCGCGTGGCCGACGGCGGGCGTCTCTCGAGGGGGTCAGGGCGTGCTGCCGCCATTGCCCGCGGGCCCGTGCAGAGTGGCGGGGTGCTTGCCGTGGTCACCTGCTGGCCTCAGATAGCAGGGGGCTGACGCAAAACAGCCTGCCTGTCGCACTGGCTGTCCCGTGCGGCCGTCAGCGTGGGCGTCTTGGGGTTCCCTCTTCCTCC